TTGATGCTTTTTCCAGTTATCCACAGCCAATGGGTATACCTTTCATAATCAGGAAAAAATGTCATTTTAAATATCTTTATTTGAATTGATTAAAAAATTTTTTAACTTTTTAAGAGATTATATGTTTAAAGAAAAAAAGCTACATCTCAGTATAGAAGGCAGCTGGCATTCTCTTTGAAGGGCTGGGGCAAAGCTCAGGGAATAATTGGGACTTTTTCCAGCTTTCTTAAAACCCTGGAAGAGTGACCCCCACCATTCCAGAAAGGAAACCAGTGGATCAGTCTCTCCCCTGCCTGGGACACTGTGGCCCAGCCTGCCACTTCTCCACAGCCCTTCAGAAATGAATGGCACAGAAGATGAGTCTGCTTGGCCCTTCTCCCACACCCATGGAGTTTGCAGATGTCTGCTCCAGGCTTAAAGTTACTGGGGTCTTTCCCATAAAATTAAGGAGATGTGGGGACTGAAGCAACTCCTTGCAACTGCCCTCATCGTGTTCCTATCCATTGAATCGTATCGTGCACCAGTATTTGTGCTTGACTGATTCATTTCACATCAACTTTTAAAAAATGGCTTGAACTGTTAAACAGAAAACAAAAACAAAAAACAACCACCCAGTGACCGAGGTAACAAAATTGAATAAAAACAATTTAAAATTTTCTTTAATAGTGTCTAATTCTTCTGCAACTTCATGATTAAGATCACCAAGTTCAAATCTGTAGCTCCTTTTGTTTAAGCAGCTCCGTGTTGCAGTTCTTTTCGTACTCTATCCTTTCTGTTTCTCCCTAGCCTATAATTCCTAGAGCGTCGTCTGTCGGGGCTGGGAGGTAGAGAGGTGATTTTACTGCTCAGCAAATTATCATTATTAGCACGAGCTGCATCAGTAATGAGCTCATTCTTGCCACTAAAAACAATTCCGTTACCTGATAAGACAAAATTCCCTGGGCCAACTGGGCCTTTTGTTAGGATAGTTTGACCTCCATGGCAATGAACACACTCCTTTGGGGTCATTTTCTTCCCTTTCTGTGAAAAAATGGTCAGTTCCCCTGGAGGCTGGTGTTGGGAGGTAACTTACACCAGGGTTCTCTGTCCCTGCT